CACACACACACACACACACACACACACACATATACAGTAGATAACTTTATATAAGGATCTCAAATATTCGAACATTACGCTGCCTAAACTGGACACGGGTGTGGCATGCTTAAAGTTTTTTTAAAATTGGTTTATCTGTTATGCACATACAGACATGCCAGTGGTGTGTTTGTTAGTTGGAATAAAGAAACAAATCTTTCACTTTATTCCTAACTTGCAAAAGGCAAATAATCCAGGCTGTTTACTGTCACCAGATGGTGGCAGTATAAGTTACATCACTTGTAAGAGGAGGAAGTAGTCATCTACTAGAAACCATTTCTGAGGAAGAACAAACGCAGTGAGGGCTCTTTAGGAACTACTTTCATCTCGGGMGATATCTGACTGCTGGTCAGTCACATCAGTTTACTTGACTCTGAACAGAAAAGACTCCTGAGTCGCGTCATGTTAGGTCAGACATGATTGCAAAAGTAGCCTCCATATTTTATAAAGTGCTTCAAGTCTTTGCTAATGCTGTTACTGGTGGAAGATGTGTCAATGTTGACTATTTCACAAAAGCAGAAAGCTAATTGAATTGCACATGAGCTCAAAACATACAAAACACTTTAGCTACACTTTAAATTAGAAGTAGGGCTAAAGATTGGCATGGAAAATCTGAGTAAGATAGGCAGAAAATTGTGGAAAAAGAAAAAAGGAACATTTTAAGGCGGCCTGTTTCAGTGAGGCTTTGGTTAATTTGTTTGTTTAATTTAGCTGTACAAATAAAAGTTTCCAAAAATTGTTAGCTACTTTCTAATTATGACATAAATATAATATGAATGTTTTGCAAAAATTAGCCCTTCGTGTTATGGAAAGACCCTCTTGATACAAGAAAAAACTCTTAAGTTTTTAAGAAAAWGGCTGCTTATCAATTAATCGTTAGTTGATCAATAAGATCAATCGACTTTAGATTAATTCATTAATTCATTGATAAGCTGCATCTCTATTTCAGACTTTTGCAAAAATCACTGATAAAAATACCTTAGATTAAATCTAAATACAATCAAAAAATGTGTTACTAATAAATTACTTCGAGTTTTTAGTTGTAATAGCAATTAGTTACAATATTTTAATGTCACAGTGTCTACTGAAAAACAAAAAAATTAATAATTAAATGTGAAAAAGTGGTACTCCTGAGAAAAACTTGCCTCAAAAGCAAGCTATGTTAAAAATCAACTCTCACTGTGCAGAGTGCAACATTTGCCAAGCTAAGCTAACATTTACTCAATCTGACAAATCAACACTACACAGGTGCCTGGCTAATATTTAGACTGTGATATGAGCACCTTGTGGAAAGGTTAAAACAGTAACCGCACCAGGCCAATAAAAACCACACATTCCTGCATTGTACAGTAACTAGAATAGAAGATAGACCCACAGATGAAAACAACAAAAAGGCAACAGAAGTACCTTACCCAAAGTTAAATTGTGGAGGTGAAAGCGTCTGACTTGCTGTCACACGAAGCCTGCTTGTTTTTAGTAATCATGACACCGCCTGGGACAGTTGGGAGAGGTGTGGAAAAGAACGACCGGCATGTTCTAACCTGTATGATTTATTATGCATTATGAATATGACTGAAATAGATCTGTCTCTATTGACATCACATTAGTTTGAACTGCAAAATCTGAGGCCAACAGAACACCTAATACAATCTATGAAGTATCCCGTCACAATGCTGTGCAGATTCAGATTTTATATTAAGACATTTTTAGAAAGCAACTTCAAACATCATCTAAAGATGCAGCTAAGACAGTTTACTCAGCTGTACAGAATCACTTTCCTCATTTATAAACCAAAAACAACCAAAAGATTTTTCAGAGAACTTCAATTTAGTCAGTGCAATAACTTCATGCTCTCAAATATATGCTTAAAAATATTTATGTGCTAAACAAACAGGGATTCACCAGTGTAAGACCTCAATAAATAAAAGCTTCGAAAACCACAATACCCTCATAAACAGTTCAGTAGTTTGACTTCAGCAGCTGTATAAATATACATTCAGGATTTTCCCAGCGAACCTTTAAAACACACTTTAAACCCAAAATAACACAAAGTTAATAGAGAAGGAACAAGACAGGCCATGCAAAGAGATTAATTTTGCCCCTTCATGTCAACTGAGAAGAAAAAAATTGTGTTCTATTGTTGGATATTTTGTGGGTGATTAACAGAATTTTAGATACAATTTTATATATTTTAACAACAACAACAACAACAAAAACACACAGAACTTTTTAGGACACTCAAAGACGCTTGGTGGTGGTAATCTACAACTTAGCCACAGCTGCCCTGGGGCACGCTGATAAAAGCAGAGTTGCCTTGCACCGTAGTCACTGTACCCTCTGTCCACCATTAGTAGGCAAGGTGGGTGAGGTGTCTTGCCCAAGGACACAACGACAGACAGATGGAACAGGGGGTCCCCTAACCACTCCACCATAGCCACTCCTGTACTTTGTGATCAGTTGTAATATTTTACTTTAACCAGTAAGAGAATAAACAAGTCTATATCTTAATATGTGCTTACTCCAACAGTTTAAACAATGTTTTTATTTCAGAAATGTATAACTGTTTTACAAGAATGACATCATATCTAGAGTGTGACCAAGGATTAAAAAACAGTGGAATGTCTCGTGAGGGATGCCATTTTCTCCTTTTATACAGGATGGACCACAGCACTGTGATAATCTTTGTGTGTGAATAAACATTCAAGACTGAGTACTGGACCGGTTTTCTGCGTCTAATTTGGGTTCTCATTGTACATGATTCCTTTTACTATTATAGACTATTCCCTGAATCATAATTACT